ACAATTTGTAGGCTATCAGACCACCATGCTCTTTAGAAGGAAGCATGCTGGGTCTGTGTCTTGCTTACCTTGGGCATCTCATACTTAAAGAACCGTCCCTAGAAAAGGACATCCTCTGTGGTAAAGAAGACGGTCAGTGAGAAGAAGGGAGAGGTGAGAGGCTTTGACTCTCCAGGTTCCAGAGCACTGCGGGTCCTCTCTCACTGTCAACACTCTAACATGCCTGCAGTCCACATCACCGCTCTCAGGAACCGCACAAATTCATATAACAAGTTCACATACTTCCGTTATAGCTCTCATAGCTATAGGCAAAGAGGGGGAAAATCCCACGAACAAACAGAAAAATTCCAAACACGGAACTTAACTCCAAATACAAGCCAAAGGACCCCAAGCTCACACTGGGCAAATTTCAAACAACGAAAGTGCAAACTCAAATCACGAATCAGGTGGTAACGCCACACGTGCACACGCAGAAGAAAAGTAAACTCAATACAAATGACAACCAACACCAAGGAAAAGCCAACAAAGAGAAAGAAACTCTTTCCTGCACTGTAAATCTATGACCCGCACATCAAATGACAAAGAGCAAGGGACAGAAAAGGGCCAAACAAAAATGTCTACACGCAGGACCCAACACCAGGTCTGGGGGACGTCCTGATAAGGCACACTGAATCATCCGTGCCACGTTAACAACACACATCTCCCCAAATAGAAGCCCCGTCAGTCATCACTTAGGAGTGAGTTAGAGAAATCTTTGCACAAACATAGGAGGCTAAATGATAGTTTATAATTCTTTATGGCCATCCAATGCCGTTATACATAAATTAGTGGCCTGGGCTGAAAAATAAAAACATTCCCCAGTTCTGCTCTCCAGCAGAAAACACAGAAGAACAAACCAAGGAGCATGAACACACACACAAACGTGAATGGACAGCCAAGGCATATGTTCCAAAAAATATTCATAAATGAAAATCGAAACATAGAACAAAAATGGAAAGTTCATGTCTCACCTACAAGAGTTCTAAAGCCCATGTGCGCACTCACACACACACAACATGGGCATACACACAAACCTCCCTCCCAATACACACTGAATCTGAGAGGAGACAAGAATCACAGAGGCCAGAGCAGGAGTAGCTGGGAAACCGCTGGGGTAGAGTCAGGAAGGGAGCAATCCGGATCCTTCCACGGACATACGAAGGGACAGAGCAAACTACTTTCCAGCCTCATCATTCATTACAATACAAATCTCCACCAAAGCTTGCGCTGAAGCAGACAATGAGATTTTGTAAACATGCAGGGAAGTCCACCACCATCAGTTAGCAACCCTTGTTGGGAGTTGAGCTCCACGTTCACCTCATCTCCCAGTGCAGGAATGGAGTCCAGACGAGGAGCGTCCCAGCAGGGGCGCCAATCCTGCCATGGCCTCCAGGCCTGGGTGCTGGCCCTCGGTCATCCCTGCCTGCCTCCCTCTTCCAGGATCCTGGAGGGAGCTGGGTTAAGGAAGTACACCCTCCAGAAGACAGAACAAATTGTAGGAAATGTTCTTCCTTCCCAAAGGTCTCAGATAAAACCTCTCAGCACTTCAACAAATGTTTATTTTAGTCCAATCACCCCAAAAAAAAGTGGTGGTGAAAATAAAAGATGCCAAAGACAAAAAGCACACAATGGGAGCTACTGTTCCATAGGGGGCTGTCAGAGCGGTTTGAAGCAAGAGGTGAAGTGCGAGGCCTCTAGAGGAGACGTGGAGCTGGTGTCTGAAAGGGAAAGAGGAGGGTAAAGAAGGAGGGGCGATGGACACAGAAACCTCTTGTTCCCAAGGGGCTTGGCCCTTTGTGGACAACAGAGGTAAATTCCCGAAGAACCTCCTGGAGAGCTTTTCCCAGGGACTCTAGGATGCCTGGAGCCGGGGCAGCACCGTGGTTAGGCTTTGGGCTGCTCACTGCAAGGTCCGCAATTTTCACCCTTAAAATTAAAAACTAAAGACTAACCTTAATTTAAAAGAATGGCTTCAGTGTTATGAAAAAGCTTTTCTTTCTTCTAGAGCAGTGGTTCCCAACCTTCCTAATGCTGCGACCCTTCAAGACAGTTCCTCATGTTGTGGTGACACCCCCCCCAAGCATAAAATTATTTCCATTGCTACTTCATAACTGTCATTTTGGTATTGTTATGAATCGAAAGACCCCTTCGAAAGGGTCCTTCGGCTGTAAAAGTGGTTGCCACGCACTAGCTCATAACCACTGCTTTATATCTACAAGGATCTTTTATAACTCTGAAGTGATCCTATTTAGGAATTAACCCCACTGGCATGATTTAGTTACCAAATGTTCACACAAGCTATTGGCACAATATATCTATTTTGACCACCAATGCCCTTCCCCCCAAATATTTTTGCACTCATGATTATGCGTATCAATTTACAAAAACATGTAACATACAGTGAAAGGTGGGTGTGGTTGACAAAAATAATTATAATAAAAAGTGATAGTGATTTCCATATAGATGGTCTAAAATAAAGAAATCTCTACTCTTCAGTGTCAAGATGTCAATGTGTAAAATTCAATTCACAAAGGTAGATAAAAAATTAGTAGACGTGGCCAGAAAAACACCATTCATATAAAATTTTGTGTTAGGGTTCTCTAGAGAGATAAAACCAAATTGCTGATAATTTAATACAGTTATTTATAAAGATAAGTAGATATATAACAAGGAATGAACTGTTAAATCATATACGGTTAAATATATAATACAAGAAAGAAACAGTTAAATTATAAACACTACAAATGGCTCAATTCAACTCACTGCCGTGAGTGAGATGTGAGAGACTAGCAGTCCTTCCAGTCCAATCTGCTGCCAGATCTTCTGCTATTTATAGAGAGAGCTAGGCTATGTCAGCACAGCAGCCAATCAGAAGGCAGGTCACCCACTGCCAGCCAGGTCACCTACTGCCAGTCCCCAGCTCCAGTGATGTCTTAAAGGGACCTCAACTTACAGCGACACAGTACACAGGCTAGGCATCCCACAGGTAGTGTAGCCTTTAAATTGAGGCACAGAACAAGCAAGGCAGCCGCACACTGCTCCAATGATCAAAGAGCGAGAGACAAGAAAGGCGAGATTTACCAAGCCATTTATCTCTCTGCCCTTCAGTTAATCCCACTTGTGTTTATCGGCCAGGCTGGCACAATAAACTATCTCACCCCTATTCTGATAGAAGTAAAGATATTGCCTTTAAAAAGTAAATTTAACATGTACAACAGAAGATCGAGAAAATATTTATAAATCACATGCAGAAATGCTTATGATTACAATTTATATGTACATACATATATATGTATACATACAATGTTTGAAATGAACTTGGAAGTCATTAAAGTTCACCAAGTTCACTTCAATTTTATTTTTCCTCCATTTAACACCAATCAGACCAATGTTTAGATCTGAGGGAGAGGAATCTGGAGGGTAGGAAATATTTTTAAATTAAGTCAAAACAACAATAAGAGTGCACAAAAGCACAAACAAAAATAGTAATGACGCAGGGGTGAAAAATAAATACAGGAAAAGATGCTCAACATCTTTAGTGAATGAGTACATGCAAACTAACTCAAGAATAAGCTGAAACTCCATGTGAAATGCACAGGTTCAGAAAATGATCAACAAATGCTCTCACCATTAGAAAGTGCTGGAGAGGATACGTGCAACTGTATATGGGATATATTCTTTATATAAAGCAAAGTACCATAACCTTTCAGGGAAGTACCTATTCTAAATTTACACATGTGCTTAGCATATATGACAGCAATCCTAGCTGAATATTTACACTTGTGAAATAAAACTTGTGTTCACACATACACCTGTACGCTAACAGGTAGAGCAGATTTAGGATGAATGCCGTACATTGAGAGAGAGCGGACAGGGGTTTCGGCCAGACTAAGAATACTATGTGGAACAATGGACATCATTGCTACTGTCAGGTGGATCTTAACTCAAAGGAGCGCATAACAGAAAGATGCTTTCACTTGTCTGTCATTAAGTATGCAAAGGCGTTCTCCTGAGTGTACCATAACAAACGGTGGATAACCTTGAGAAGAATGGGAATCCCCGAACACTCCAGTGGGCCGTGTGGAACGTGGACGTGCACCTAGAGGCAGTTGTGTGAACAGAACACAAGAATACTGCATGGTTTATAATAAGGAACGGCGTGCATCAGCGTTCTATCCTCTCATCCAACTTACTCAATCTGTATGGTGATCAAATAATGAGAGAAGCTGGCTTACATGAGGAAGACCGTGGAATCAGGATGGAAGGAAGGCTGATTCACAGCCTGTGATGTGCAGGGGACACAGGCTTGCTTGCTGAAAGAGACAAGGGCTTGACATACTTGCCGGTGAATGAGGAGGGTTGAAACCTTTCGTATAGATTAAAACTCAAATAAACAAAACCAAATCCCTCACAATTTGACCAATTGATATCATCATGCAAAGTATGAAGTGGCTTCAAATAAGGGAAATGCTAGTGTATTTATACTTTTTATGAAATGAAACATGGAAAACTCGATTTATTATTATTTTATCCTCTAGTTATGCAAGCTTGATCTTAAACTACCAGAATGGCGGTAAGGAAATGTTTTTTGTTTTTGTTTTGTTTTTTCAAAAATTCAGGTGGTAAACATTTTAGGCTTTTTGGACTATGTCTTGTTCAAAAGTACTCAACTTTGCTGTCTCACCATGAAATCAGCAATTGAAGTCACGTAAACTAGTGAGCGTGCCGATTTCATTAACATTTTATGGGCATTAAAATCAGAAAGTGATACAACTTCTCTATATCATACAACATTATTATTTTCTATCCTGTCCTTAAAGCATTAAAGAACTTGCCTACCTTGACAACTGTACAGAAACATGTAGATAACTCTAGACCTCGGGGCGCAAAATATATAATTATCATTCCACAAATTTCCATCTACTTTCTCTGAGTTCAACATAATCAAGCTAAGATTTTTTTTATATAAGTCACAAAGAATACAACTCTGGAATTAGAATGAAAACAATGTTTCTGTGGATAGTTGCTCACAAGTCAGCTTCCATTCCCGGTGACCCCATGTAGAACTGCACTAACATCCCTGGCTCTTAAGGCATATGGATAACTGTTGAGACCTATAGCTCCTGAGAGTGAAGTCTCTGAGAAAATGCAAACAAGTTAGTGAGGTGGCCAGCACTGAAGGGGGAATGTCAGGATTTCAATAAATGCACCTCTGTGCTTAGTTTCACGTCTGTCCCAGGGCCACCACACATGTTGTACTACTTGTACAGTAAGTTTCGCAAAAAGCGTACATGAAAGTCGCTTTCATATGAAAGGCACTGCACACTGAATAACTGAAGGTGGTAGCCCACCCAAGTGCCACCTACTATCTCAGGTTACATGCCAACTCTCCGAAACACCTTCCTTTGTGCTGTTATTCTCAGGGGATATTAAAGGCTAGGATAGGAACACACAGAGACTGGGCTTCCTCTGAGTAGCTACCAAGAATTAAACAAACAACTCCTACAACATCTTCCCCACTGTCTTCCTTTCCCATTCTTCCCTGGATGATGCCTTACTGTCTTTGTAATTGACAGACTAATTAAAATTCTGAGAAAAAATACCTTGCTATCTTTTTTCTCTTTCTCAAAGATTAGGTGTTACTATGCTAATGACTGTGTAAGGTAATACTAAGAGAAATGGCATAGGTCAGTGGAAGTGTGTCAACTTCCATGTTGACAAGGCATACACCTTTGACTTCAGGACATCAGTGTCAACCCCCCCCCCCAGCACTCCTCCCACTTCCTCCCTGGGATGCCCTTTGCTCTTCATGCCCCTCTGCTGCCCCTTGCTGCCTTCCGGGTTCCTTGTTACTGCCTCTGTGCTGCCTCCTTGCCTCCTACTGCTCTTACCTCTCACGGGTGCTACCGTCCACTTTATACTCCACACTCACTGCCATGGCGTCCATGCCAACGCATGGCGATGCTGTAGGACAAAGGAGGTCTTCCCTGTCAGGTTCCCAGACACTCATGGTTTAAGGCAGTAGAAACCTGTCCTTCTCCCTTCAGTGCTTAGTTCTTTTGACGTTTTCACCTGGTGCCTCACAGCACACCACCACCAAGTCTCCTTCGGCCCACGTTTTGGGCTATTCATTGTGTGGCTGCATGTGGATCCATGGGGCTGGATTCAATTCCAGGCCTGAATGGACTGAAATATTATAGTCTTGAGGGATCTACCTGTCTCTATTAGATGAGTGTAACTAGCCTTTTAAAAGTAATTTTTCTTTTTTGAAACATTTTTTGCCATTTTTAACAGAGTTCTTGTGTTCACTATTGCATGCTGAATACCCCTAGGTACTTGAAAGCCACAAACCACTTTGGCCTGTGTTCCTAAAGAAATGACAACAGACAAGGGATCCAGGTGGCCATCCCTTGAAGACACCAGGATTCTGGCGGAGGTTTGGGGACTATATTCTGGCAATTCCTCCCTCTAAGCCATCACTGGAGCACGGGCTTTGTTATTCTGCCTGCAGTCTTAGAGCCTTACAGCCATAGCACCAGTCTGTCTAACAGCAATGGGCAAGCTCTCTGAGTTTCACCCGAGAGGTGCATCTTAGGAATTAGTCTCACTCACAAATTCCTGGGCTCAATTTCATTTGGACACCAAGAAATCATATTCCACATAAAATCAGGCCCACATGATTTAGCTTTCTGGGATAATTACTAGAAAGGTTACTTAATAAAGAAACAAAATCACTGGTGCCTTGAATAAAAACAAGAAAATAAGCTACCCAAGGAAATGTCTTAATGAGTATATTTAGGTTGATGTCTCTCATGTCATAGTGCATTCAATGAAAATCCACACCTGGACGCCCAGAGGGGAAGTACGAGAAATGCCATAGCGATGGCTGATGAGTGAAAGACCAAGAAGAGCAGGCGCAGGCCACTTCAAGAGCGGGCACAGTCCACAGTGTGCAACACATAGTTCTCCTGCAGAGTTCCCCAAGGTATCCCTACACCTAGGGGTGGAGAGAGTTCACCTGGGCTCCAGGGAAAGGAGACATTCTGCATGCAGTGTCCCCCCAAGTTCCCCTCAGAGCGCTCCTACTGTCACCGTGTACGTCATACAGTAGTGTATTACTGATATCCATCAGGGGCAATCATAATGTCGAAAAAAATATGAAAGTCACCTGATGGACAAAGGTACCACACCCAGCACACCTGTGAGAAGATGGGAACCCTACACCTGACAGAGAGCCTCTGTCCCCTTCGGGCGGTGAGTGGACCCTAGCGTTTGTCCTGAGACCCAGAGCACCACCCATCCCACTGCCTTCGCCCCTCCATGCCACACTCGGCACTCTCGCTTCATGCCGGGCAAGCTTAACATAGCAGCTTGCACATGCTCACATCCATTGTGCCTTCCTCCCAGTCTGTCGCACAGAAGGAAACATCATTGCATGCCTCGCCCTGTGCTTTCCCCCAGGATGATAAACAGACCATTAAATAGGCGATTCCACCATCCAGATCCTACAGCTGGTCAGAAAACCCACTGCTCACCTCCTCCAGCCTTGTCACCCAAAGGTCTGGAATCCTCCCTCGCTGGCTGACTGACTCGAAGTCCTGAGGTGAAGATGAAGCAGTAACAGCTCACAGGACTCTGCAGAGAGGAGAGAATAATCAAGTGGGTGGCAGGATGACAGGAGTGGAGATCCCTCAGCCCCAGGAGCGAAAAAGAACATCTTCCTAACAAAGAATGAAATGCCAGACAGGCAGAGCTTGGAGTCCTGGAGGCTCATAGACATATTCTGAGCTTTACTTCAGAGGCCAAGGTGTTTTGTGAGCAGATTTCCATCTTTCCATTTGAGATACCGTCTACAGAGCCTGTGTTTCCCTCATCAATGGGGAGAGATGGAAGGAAGAGGAGAAGACAATACTGCAGCAAAGACGGGGATGTTACGCAAATAAAGAAGACTGGGAGAAATCTTTGCGAAAACATAATGAGTATTTGAGTATAGTCATGTCATCTCTGAAGAATACAGAAAGATGAGAAAGAAAAAAGTGGAATCAGAGTCCCTTACCTCCACAACTTCAGATATATCCCCGGCTATACTTGTACATAAAATAAACTCCTTCCCCTACCCCCAAGAAAAACTGGTCCCATTCCAAAGCTGTGCCCAACCCAAAGGTGAGCTCAAAGGATGGTAGAAAATATGCAATATCACTAATATCACCTGAAAGTAAGTTTTTACTGACAGTAATTCAAATATTGCCACAGTGTATGCATGAGACACTGCCAGCAATTCAAGCTGGATTCAGAAGGGTTCCTAAGAGGACATGTCAACAGAGTCCCCATGGCTGACTTCAGATGCATCTGGTCTCTAAACAGACAATACAGAAGGATGTTTACTTGTATTTTACTGGCCATGCGAAGGCAGGCCACTGTC